TCCATTTTTTCACCGCGTGAATTGGGTATTTTTTAGCTTATTTCGAGGAAATACGTTGTGCTTTTTGAAGTTTATTATTGTGCTTTGCCCTTTGACAACCTTACGTGACTCGTGCGTTTGGTAGCAGAAGATGGCTAAACTCTGCTTTTCTTGTTGGAAAACAGCTTTAAATTTTATCAGATCGCTCGATAAACACGTGTTGGTTTCTGATAGCTGATAACGTTAAACCACTGTTGCTCAAACTGATTTCTTATTGCATTTTTCTGAGCTATTAGCATCGGCCCGCTGAGTCTGCAAAGCTCAAATTTCAGAAAAGTACTACTTGTATTTTTTGGCCTCAAAAATTTTCTTTTCAGTTGCCTATAGTTTTGAAAACAGATTTTGAAAGAAGAGATAACATTCTTTAATGTGGTATAAGACTCGTTACTGAAATCGAGGTACCAGTCGACGATTTGGGGCTTTGAAATTTGCCATTTTTTCGTTGAACGAAAACGTTCAAAATATTGAAAACAATGAAAAATCTCCAAAATATTACACTTTCGTTCAAACTGAGTAAATCACCACTTAAAATGTGTGCAATTATGTACTCTTCTGAATAAGTCATTTGTTGTCCTTATTACAATGGATTTGAATTTTAAAACGATTTCTTTGTGACACATGGTCTCGGGCCTGGAAAGCCCGGTCCGAGAGCCGCGAAACCAATAACCCCCCCGTACGTGGAAAATAATTATCGGATCGAAGTAAAAATTACATTTATGTTAATAGCTTACCCAGTGCTACTTTGTGAATTTTTTTGAGAATTTTCGATTTCTCACTTTTGTAGACCTCTGGTCGATATTTACTGACATCCGCTCTTAAGGGAGATATTTTATAGCACTTTGATTTTTCAGCAAAGAAGTATGATTTGTATTGGCCGCCATGTTGGAGGGCATGCTTTTGCCCTCCAACATGGCGGCCAAAACTACTACTTGCTTTTATCTTGTTTAACGTTTCATAGTTACGCTCAGATGTGCTGTAAACGTTATCACATCATCTTTTCAACATTTTCCTTGAAGTTAAAGTGCAAAATTTGTGTTCAGAGAGAGGTGATTCATAATTTTAAAAATCACATTTTTTGGTCACGTGACCATTTACGAACTTATTCATTTTAAGAAAATGGTGCGGGCTTGAAAAACCAAATGACTATTATTTTGTTTAAGACATGACCCACTAATCGTTTTTCGAAGGCAAAATCATGTAACTTTCATTTTCATAAAAACGATGTCACATACCTCTTAGTGAAAATGGCCTATTGCACCCAAGAAGACAGAAGGCAAAACCACGAAGCACATGGCAAGTAAAACTACTTTTACAACTGATGATATTTCGACAAGGCGAGCAACACCGCCGCTGTCGATCACTCACCTTCGCGTCGACGATAATTCCCAACTGTGAAAAACATGAGTTTCGAAACACAGCAGACATTTTTTTCGTTCCCATTAGGGAATCAATGTTGACCTCATTTGTGTCTCGTAAGACATTTTTGGCTCGTTCCCAAAAGCGAAAAAAGTGCGTTTTGAAGGACTTTTTCTGTTCACCACGATAGTCGACGATAACAACAACGAGAATCGGTGTCGGCAGTGTCCGTCAAAATCCCGATCTTTCCGAAGGTTAGGACTACTTACACTCATTCTAACAAAGTGCCAGCATAGCGCCTACTACTTCTTCGAGTAGTGGCCACAAAAAGGAGCTTAGCAGGTTCTTGTATAGATGGGTTTTAGCCTAACAGGTTCTTAAAAACAAGGTTCTTAGTCGCGGGTTTTTACTGTATCCCACTACCCTTTCCGTGAAATTTTCTCATTATAACACTAAATTACTAACAGTATCTTTTTCCCGCTACAATGGAGACCGAAACAGGAACAGCTGAAAACTAATAAATATATTTGTTTTAGGAGCGGATGTTATTTCCACGGTTGGTCGATAATTTTTTAGTAATTTTAGCTAATTTTAAGACTAGAGAATGATTTGATTGATCGAGGTCAGTGACTATTCAATTCCTTTGCAATGATTCAATCACGTTCCCGTCGATATGATCAAGTTTCTATTTTGCGTACATTTATATCAAGTTTTTTTTACGCAGAACAAACAAACAAACAAACAAGTGTTTCACTGTAGGTCACAGAACGCCGAATTCACTGGAAACTCAAAAGTTGTCGACATAGAAATTATGATTAGTAATTCACTTGAGGTACAATCATTAAAGTGTAGCGAGGATCGTTTACTGCTATCTCACTTAGGGATTTAAGATCAACATTCATTAATATAACTGGCGCTAGATATCAAAGAAGCCATCAAGGCGAATGAAAATTACGGATATGATGATCTGTGCCTGTTAAGTCTTCCGCTCTTTTTCGACTTAGTGGGCTTACATATTAAGAGCCTCTTAAGTTAATTGTTTGTTTCTTCAGACTACTAGCAAACACAAGTTTAATTTATTTTTTCCGATTAATCTTCTCTTATGTGCCCGAAGTCTGATAACATTGATTTAACCCGGCTTATAAGCTGGGTCTTGAAGCCAACCTCCTTTTACTGAAGCAAAAAGTTATGAAGCAAAAGCAAAATTTATGCCTTTTGAGGGGAGAAGTTACACAGTAAATAGGGCTATTTATGAAGTCATAAGCTACGGCTGTGGATACACTGGAATTACGAAAGATGAGGCAGTTATATTTTCGGTGGCCGTCAGCGGGCTTTTGCTGTGGCTTGTTTTACTCCGAGCAGTGGCGGACTTGTTTGTTGTTTGTATACTGCGAAGAAACAACTAACTGAGCCAAACGAACCGCTCGATGCCTGATGAAGTGTGCAAGTGGCCCTGCATTCTATCAGTGAATTTAAGCCGAATTTCACCAAATTGCAGATATAGAGGTAAAGCTAAGTAAGATGAAATGCAGATTTTTATTTGGAATACAACGTTTTACTGAACAGTACTGAGTGGTTCTTTCAATTTAACGAAAACAGTATCGAAACTCAGTTGAGAATCACCGTAGGCTCAAAATAGCAAAACTAAAAAATATTGCACAACTGGAAAGGTCTAAAGAGTTGCTGTGGTCTTAACGTGATGGTAGATATCGAAATAATCCTACTTTAGAAGGCAATTGAAATTCGTTCCTAACACCGCTCGCCTTTCAGTTTGAAGGAAAGACTAAGTTTGTTTGAAATGGGAATAACGCTGAAATGCTAAGAATGAAAACGACCATGATCTTGAAATAACGTGCCTCGCTCACGAGGAGCTGGAGGAGCAACGATTGAGTACGAAAAGGATCTTCAGTGCAAGAGTTAGTTTTATACCAACTCATGCCATTTTAAACTCAGAATGATCTGAGTATATACCCTAAACCTAACATCAACAAGAGCACATGTAGTTTTATAAACTTTGTTAATGTTATGTCAAGTCGCTCCATGTTTGATAATTCTGAAACTGACTGATCTAAAACGCCCCAACAGGTGCTTATAATATTACGTAAAATCAGTGAATAGCACATTATATACGATTCCCAAATCATCAGACCTCGGGAAAAAATATCTGAATTTTCTGTACCATTGCCCTGAAATAAACAACAAATAAGCGAGCAAACCCTGAATCAGTATTAGTCAAGATATAAGTATGAAGCGTTCGTTGTTGTAGACTGAGCGCGTACTTTATTTCAATTAGATTGATCTCACGCTAGAGTCTTTCTGTGACTAAACGTTTTTTCAGTAGCTTTGCTTTATGAACATCTGAATGCAGAGTAAGAAAGTACTGCACAAGATGAAATTTTATTTCAGCTCAAGTTTCAGTTCAGTAAGGAAGTGTTGTTATGATTTCCTTTCCATGACATTTTGTCTGGTAAAACTAAAATCCTAACAGGTTCATTAATGTTTACCACTACTAATGAAGCGAATTCACCCGAAACAGAAGGAAAAAATACTGCTCAAAACTAATTAATAGTATAGATTTGTTTTAGGAGCATTTGACCACGGTTGGTCGATAGGTTTTAGCAATTTTTAGAGGGGGCGTAAGGGTTTGCGGTGAAGCGGTTTTGCTCGATTCTTGTTGCGGTTTTGCGAGAATTTTTGTTTTAAGTTGCTGTAATCATAGTTAGCTGTAATGCGGTAAAAACCTCGCGGTTCGCGGTGTGTAGACATTTCGGTTAATTTCACTGCGGTTTTGTGGTTTTGTTATGTTATTTTGTGCGGTGTTTATATACCGGTATTTCTGTGCGGTTTTGCGTTTTTTTATGTTATTCTGTACGGTGTTTATACCGGTAGTTCTATGCGGTTTTGTGGTATTCGTACCCTCCTTACGCCCCCCTCTTTTTAGACTTTCGTCTGATTTGAAAAAATGTCACGTCAATGTTGAAACAAACAGGCCTCCGGAATTAAGCTTTTCGAATTACGGTGAACAGCCGAGAGAGGTGTTTAAAGTGATGATAAATAAATTGACTAGGGAAGATCAGCACTGGATTATGATTTTAAGCTGTATAACGCAACTGAAATGGCAGAATACCATGCAAACCATTAATTCAGTCAGTAGTATATCAGATATATCCCTGGCAACATGAGATTGCTGCACACATGAATTAAGGTCACTCGATCATTCATAAGGAGATAGCCCTCAAGTCTTTCTAACGAGTTTACCGGACGGGCACAAACGGTGATGAAATTCACAGCTAACAGTTTAAGAAATTTTTCGTCAAAACATACCACATTGAATTTTTTTTTTTAGAACACTTAGCTGTAATTAGAGAACACAGTCCATCAACAACCCGTGAACGGTAGGCGTTCTATTAAGATCCTTCTCTAAAGCATTAGACAATCATTTTCTCCTCTTTTTTACTAAGTTCTTAGCATTTTTTTGGCAATTTTTTCTTTTTAATTTATTACTGATAACTTCGCGTGCATTTCTTTATCTACAGTAAGCAGTTGAACTGACGGTTAAGGAGATATCAGACCAAGATCGACCTTCATTAACAGGAGTACTCAACATGTCTTCACTAATAATTGCTGTATTCAAAGCCACTATCGGCCTGTTGGTGAATAAAGGAAGAGATAAACTGGCAGAAAAGTTGAATGAGGGTGATGTTACAGATCAGAAATTCCGTGGCCTGATTGTCCGTGAAATCGATGAAATAAAATCGAAGTTGGATGGTTTAGCAAGAAAGGATTTGTTAGCGAGTATCAGCCTTTTTAAAGAAGGAATCGAGTTGTTGTATGAAGTGTTTGAAAGTGCCAGATCCAGTACCGAGCATCGCGCGATAGAAGCCGCTGCAACAGCTTGTGTTGAACAATTCGATATTGCTAAAGAAATGAGGAAATTACAGCTTACTGCCTTGGATGAGTCGGCCACAAGGAAGCTTACCAAAGCCAAGAAGAGATTTGAAGAAGCTCGCCTAGGAGCGACAAATGCTTTTAGTAATGAAGCTTTGGAGTTGCCTGATCGCCTGTTGGCTATGCAATATCGAGTGATGGCAACAATACTGGAGACAATTGACAATCCTGAAGACTGTCTACCGGCTTGTAAAGTATGTATTAACGACCTACAAGATGTGTCGGGTGTTAAAGAATGCTTCAAAGTAGAACTTAGGAAAGGTCTTTGGGCCTGGTTGGGTAAAGAAGAACGCAGAAAAATTATTTCCACGGTATGTTTCTTTAATCGTGTAGTCTACGATGTCACGCTGATGGTCCGCGGGTTTGGCTCCAAGGGTCAGCTATCGGTAAACTGGCCTTGTGTTAATACTGGAGAAGAACCAGTCAATCCACTTCGAAATCAAAGAGTTGCTGAAGTACTAAATAATCAAGGTATGGCGCATTGCAGCTGCTTACCATGGTCAGTTGGTCAGGAGGGTGATGAGGAGCACAAGCTGAAGGATCCAAGTGCTATCGCTACAAACCATAGAGGACAATTCCTGATAGCAGACACTGGGGATAAAACCGTGAAGGTGTTTGATAGCAACGGAAAGTTTGATTCTAGGTTTAATCCTCAAACTGATAACACCGATACAAAGTTAGATATTTTGGATGTCGCCACCGCAGGCGAGGACGACAAGATTTATCTTCTGGTCGGACTGAAGAAGCCTGGGGCTAAGGAATGGGAGAATGAAGTGCAGGTTTTTAACAAGACTGGTGACTTACAGCACAAGTTTCCTGTGACGAGAGGGGGCTGGAGACTAACAGTGACCAGCGGCAAACAACGCGGTAAAATTCTGCTGTTGGCAGGTGATCTGTTCAGAAGTCATGTTGATGTTTACCAGGAGTTGAGTGGCGAGTTCGTTTGTAGCTTTGGTGGAGGAGTGTTCAAGAAAGCAAAACATATCACTGCTACTTGTGATGGTCGCGTCATGATAGTGGACTGGGGCGATGACAGTTTGTACATATTTGATGTGGAGGGACACCAGCTTGGCAAATTTAATATCAAACATGAGAGAGATGACTATTATTGCATTGCATGTCACCCGGCAAGTGCAGACCATGTTGTCCTTGCTGGTGATGAACGAGGGACACGCCGCCTGACGCTGGCTATATACACTGTTAATGGCGAATTTGTTCGCAGAATTCAGCTGGATGAAAAAGTAGATTATACTGTACGTGGAATAACAGTGACCGTGCAGGGTCACATTGCTGTGGCTTTACAGGCTATTACAGACGAGGGTAGAATTGAAAAGGTAATTGTTGTTTAAAACTAAAAAATTCGAAGACACAAGTCAACAGTTCTTATTTTACTTTCATGAATAAATGTCATCAAGGCAGATGTCTAAATTTAATGCTGCAGTTGACTGGAATCACTGGACATGACTGCATTAAGCCACATACACTGGCTTAAGTTCACTGATGTTTGTAGTAAATCTTGTGTTATCGCTCTATAAACTAAGAAACCAAAACAGGTAAAATGAATGCGATACATGTACAGTAAACACTCGGTAATAAGAACCTAACTTACATTTTTTTTTTGAGGTCTGGCAAAAAAGGTTCATTTATTTTGGGGTACGTTACAGAGTAATTAAGGCTAAGTACAACTGTAGGTTCTTAATTAGGTTTTTAATTTCTGTGAAGGAGATGAACGTAACAGGGTGTCCCAAAAGTTTGTTCCTCTAATTTCATGCTCAGTATTAACTTTTGATCAAAACTTTATTTTTACATGAAATTTCTAAAAGATGTTTATTGCTCTATCAAGTACATGATTGTATTCAGAAGTTCAGTAAGCTGCAGGTCCCCTTTTTTTTCTTATCACATTCTGTAGCCATTGCACATGGCATAGAGTGGGATAAGTCATCATAGCGTCTAGAGCCCCATATGAGCCACTTTTAGCTTTTTCATCACCTGGTACACAGGAGCCACTTTGACCCCCAAACAATATCATTTTTTTAGATTAGGCAGCCAAAAAAATATTTTAAGCATTCATGTAAACAAAATATAATCATCCTGGCCTCTCTCTGCAGTAAGGTTGTTTTACTTCTTTGCCAAGGAGACTAGCTGAACGTTGCTTGGTGGACTGAGCAAGGTTTTTTTTGCCATCTCACAGGCCTCCAACCGTCTCTTTCCAGGAAACTGCCCCAGACTTAGCTTGCTAACTGTTGTGAGAGCCGCCTCGTTGAGTTTCCTTTTCTTTTTGCCCAGCCTATTTTAGAACTATTTTAGCTGCTTTATTCATGACTTTATGTTCTCCAGCAGGTTCTTAAACCACAATTTCTTATTAGTGGGTGTGTGTTTACTGTAAGTACAGTAACATTCTTTTGTTTCTTTAACAATTGGTGGTATAATAATATTTTTGTTTGTGCAGAATTGAAAATAATACAATCCAGATTCAGTTGGTTTACAAAAACATCCTCATCATTTACCAGCTTCTCTATAACTCTTTTTGTTAAAGATTCAGGTTTTTGAGTTTGAAATGCTCTACATTGTAACTCAATCGCATGCCACATCAAAATACACCTTTGAAATCTTCTCCAGGAAAAATATTTTATGATGCTCTCTAATTAAAATATTAAGCTTGACTCCAGCTTTTAATGTTAGTATACAGCTGTAGGTGAAACTCTGCAGCAATCACCTTCAAGATGGAGATCTCTTAAGTGTTTATTATGGGGAGATAGGCATATAAAGCCTTGTTTCCATATGATCATCCCAATCACCCCAGTCGTTTAAAAAAGTTTTGAGATGATCCAGACAACTCTGGAATGATAGTGATGATTTCTGGGATAGCCTTTGATCGTCCTGATAGTCTCAGTCATCTGAGAGCATTTCCAGATCACTTCAAAATTTACATGATGCTCCCAATCGTCCGCATAGAACTCAACTCTATTCACGCGATCGATAGAGGTCATCTCAGTCGTCCAGGTCATTTGCGATCATCTGGGTAGGGTTTTCATATGATTGTCCCGATCATCTGAACATTATTTGAGGCATCTGGGACAATCACAGCACAGCCAAAATGTGTCAATGACAGTGTTATCATGGACAGACATAATCAGGGAAAATCTATAATATAAATAGTTATACATATGATTGTAAAAGAAATGTGATTTTTCTTGGCCAGAGGAAAATCAGGAAAAGTTTGCAAGTGGTCAGGAAAAGGCAGTTAATGTGAAGGTCTGTGAAAAGTCAGCTGCAAGTTTATTTTCTGGTAAAAAGTTTTCAGAAAACGCAGTGAAAATCATTTTAAAAAAGTCAAAAACGAAGAGTAGAGTAATATTGATTTTTTTGGGGGGGAAATTTTTTTATAAGTTTCTGCTGCTGAATTAATAAACTCTATATGAACAACAAGCAAACAAAACCTCAGGAAAAAAAAGTTGTTTACGGAGCAAAACAAAGCAAATAAGGTGTTGACTGAGATCTAGAGTTTATACTTCAAGTTGTTTTTTGCATATTAACTTGAAAAGAAGCTATGCCATCATTGCCTATAACAAAATGCTGTAAAATTAATATTAATGGCCTTGTGCCCAAATCTTAATCAGCTAACAAGGTCATTATTTAACCACTGCTAGGATTTTGTTTCATGATAAATATGTGGAAAAAATGAAAAATATTAATGTAAACATGCCTATTAGTCTGTTATTCATTTAATAAAGTTATAAGCAATAGATGTTTATTATTAATTGGATAAACCTAGCCTGGTCATGTCCAGTGAAGCCAACCAACTGTATACATGTAGAAAAATGCAAAACTTTGCCTTTGATGACATTCATCACGAAAAAATCTGCACTGTTCACTTACTGTTGTGTCTTTGAGTTTATTAGTTTTAATCAACAATTTATAATGAAAGGGTGTGTGGAAAAAATTCGTAACTTTTTTTTAGATTTTTACAAAAATGCAGGCCGGTATTTTTAGGTTTTCATGCCTGTGATTTGACAGTCTGCAATTTTTATTAACATTTATTATATAGACACGAGTGTTTTACTGGAAAATGTACCACTCGTAAAATTCATAAAAACTACATCCGGGACCCGAGTGGTTTATTTTCCATAATCTCACACGTGAGTTTATCGATGACGTAATGTCGGTAATTTCCCTCTATTATTTTATCAATGTCTTTTTGTCTATATAATAAAAAGAACATTACACGGCGGCTTGAAGATATGAATTTTATTTTCTCGTGGCAAAAACAATATTTTACGAACGAGCGCATTATCTTCGCGCCACCGTGTAATATCCTCTATATAACACTAAAGAATCTATGCAATTTGTTTTGGGACACGAATTTTCAATATCGAGATTAACATAATCAAGAAGCCAAATAAGTCTTAAGAAGGTCTAAATTCCTTGTTGAGCAAGACAACAAGAAAATGGCAGGGTGATTTTATTGAATAGCTCGATGTTAGTTTATACAAGTGCCAAACTTACTTTTTAGGGGCAGTGTCATCAAGGTTTTGTGCTACGTACTTCAAAATCCAACAAATGCATTATTTTATATCATTATGAAAATCCACTGATTCACTATTTTCACATAGACCATAATGCACCTTGTTTGCCCCCAAAATTTTGCATAAACATTCTTTTCAATATTCAATATTTCTCTTGAGATATATGACTGTAATATCCAGGAGAAACTGAAAACAAAATGCAAAATTTTCGGGGTAAACAAGGTGCATAAATTATGATCTATGTGAAAATGGCGAATATAGTAACCTTAATGGCCTCTCTAGACATCATTAAAAAGAGAGTTTACGCCATAAGAAAACTTAAGCGGACAAATCCTTAAAAAAGTTGGGCCGGTCTGTTTTCAAGTTTGCTGGAGTTACATCAATTGGAAAATCTTTTCAAAACCATTAAAGAGATATTGTTATTATCATAGTTCACTTGCGCTTTTCAGAATGATTCGATGTCTTTCTCATCATTCAAATGTCATTTTGTGTAACTCTATATAGGGTTCTAAACGGGCCTTATAGCAAAGTATGTGATTTCTCTGCCGGAGTATATGTGTATTTTGCACAAAACAGTCAGAGTTGGTTATTAAAACAGAGCCTTACTGATAGAATGAGGTTTAAAAAAATGTCTGGGCCCCCAAAATAGATATTAAATGATCTTTTCAGCCTAGCCTGGAAGGCTTTTTGATGCTCTTAACAACAAACAATGTTTTCTAGATATGGCCGTTAAGGATGGTAAAATAATTGAAAAATGACTTAGAATGCGCAAGTTCTGTTAAACACCACCTAAACTTTGTTTTAATAACCAGCCTTTAGTTTCAATTTCTAGATTCACAATTACCTAAAAATTTTAGAGTCTACATTGTGCCCAAAGCAAAGTGGCCTTAAAGGGAACAGGTCGTAAGTTGGTTTTTGTGTCCAGATTATGCAAACTTTGGACCACAAATTATGAGTTAAAGTTGCCTTTTGTGTGTTTAACAGAAAGCTACATGTACATAAATGGAGTTAATATTTCTTATCTCTTAATGAGTGTTAGCCCTTTGTGGGTTTATAAATGGAAAGCTTTGTAAATATGCCATGTTATTAATACTGCCCAAGCGTAAGCAGGTCAAGATGGCTGGAATTGTTAGGGGTTTCAATGTTTTAATGAAACAATACAAACTTTGTGATCAACAAGTTCTTTAACCTGCGTAGACTAGTTGGTGGTTTCATGTGGGGTGTTTGAGAGGCATCTCTCACTTTACAAACTACAAAGGAAAACAACACCTGCACATGGCAAACAAACCGCCAGCTGCAGTGCGGGCTACAAGTTCGTGGAAACTCAGTGTTTTGTTGCAAGTTTTCCTTGGTTTTAATATGAAAGTTTTTTTCGTTCTTAAATAAAATGAACCAAGGATGAAAATGAATTTCTACATAGGCATACCGATAATTTAAGACAGAATCCACCAGGAAATTGAGTAAATTTAATTTTCAGTGGACAAAACCAAAAAAAACAGACTAACTTAAAGAATTTTGCATTCTTTGTTTTACATTTTTCAAGGGCTGAAGATGTAATAAATCATCTGTAGTAACACCAAAGAAAATTTCTCATGGAAGTCCGAGAATTATGAATGTCAAATTTTACGAGAATTGTGATTACACATCTAAAATTCTGAAAAATTTGACATTCATTTTCTTGGGCTCCCATTTTTTTTGGTGTCACTACAGATGATTTATTACATCTTTAGCCCTTGAAAAATGTAAGAAAGAATGCAACATGCTTTAAATTATTAAGGTACAAGATTTTTGTCCTCTGAAAATCAAAATTCCTCAATATCCTG